AAGCGGACCTGACCTAGGGTGGATTTTATACTGGGTTTTTTAGGAATTTGGAAGACACAACATTAAAATTTGGTTTAATTCGGTTTTAAGGGGGGGATTGTATACATGTTTTGGTTTTAAATATGTTGTGCGCCGCCCTGAGTCCCGCTGGGAGAAGGGCGGCATATAAATTAAATTAAATAAATAAATAAATAAATAATAGGGAAATATTTATTCATTTGCATCTTGCCTTTATTATTTTTACAAATAACTCTGGCAGCAAACATATCCAATACACTTTCCGCTTCTTATTAATCACCAACACAATCCTGTGAGCTGGGCTGGGTTGAGAGAGAGAGTGAATGGCTCAAAGTCCCCCAGCCAGCTTTCATGGGTAAGGTAGGATTAGAACTCAGAATCTCCTGGTGATGGGTCACAAAAGTCACCCAACCAGCTTTCACAGCTAAGGCGGGACTTGAACTCACAGTTACCTGCTGTCAAAGATGAAACTTTGGCAGCTATGTACCTCTGTGATTCAACTTGTCTTTAAGTTAAAGGGGGGGAGGTGTTACTTTCAAGTGGGTTAGATGGAGAAACGAAACTTCTATGATTCAACTGAGAGCCTGAAGTCTCTTTAAGAACACCAGAACAGGTGTGGATTTGAAGAAGACGGTTCCCATAACAAAGCGAACTTGTTTATATGGACTACGTAAGATGTTGGGGGTTTGGCTGAGAAAACTATTGCTTAAGTCTATGAATTGGTGTTGGAACCTCAGAGTTAGTTTTGCTTCGACATAACCATGCAGTGTATTCAATAAACAGTAAGATTTTCGGAGACGGAAACAATCTGGTGTTTTATTTGGATTCTCAAGCTGGATGTTGACATCTGTTTTCTAGCCTGGTGCCTTAACCACTAGACCAAATTGACTCTATCCCTACATTTTATCCTCACAAAATAACCCTGTGCGATAGCCAGGGATGAAGGAAGTTGGTTGAGTTTATTCATTCTATTTATTTATTTAATAAAAAAATTATACGGCTGCCCAACTCACTCATGGTGACTTGGAGCATCTTACGGAAATAAAATCCCAATACAAAACCCAATAAACACCCTGCCCCCTGGCGACAACAATCAAACAAATCACTGCGGGGATATGGACTTAACCTGGATCTCCCAAGACTTAGTCCAATACCTTCCCACTGGAAAAACCCTTGAAGTCTTAGAATCTTTCGCAACTGAATTATAAAATCTGATACAATTCTAAGTGCATTGATGCTGCCACGTAACTCATTTTCTAAGGAGAGTAATGATCTTTTTGAACATTTATTCTGCTCAGATCCTAGAAAACTGGGTGAGAAATTTTAAGAAGCAACCCGAGAATCGAAGGAAAGCAGCTATCCAAACAATCAATTCAGCCCAACGGGTGAAGATCTGAACACATTCCATGCAAGCCGCTGTCAGTTTTCAGAAGTCCCCGATCTGAATTCAGCCAGTTCATCTTGAGCCAACTTCAAAATCACGGTCGGCTTCCCCATATAGTCAAGGCGTCCCACCATTTTCCCACCCTACTCTTCAAATGTTCATACCTGGATGACACGCATGTTAAGGCCGGTCTCCTGTGCCAGCTGCTCACGGATGTGCCGGGTGGGTTTCGGAGTGGCGGCAAATGCTGCTTTGAGGGTCTCCAATTGCTTGGCTTTAATGGTGGTGCGGGGCCCTCTCCTTTTGGCCCCCAGGTTTTGGTCGTCGTTCTCATTGCTGCCTACTTCTTTGTCAGAGATATTGGCGCTTTCCAAATCCTTGCTGTCATCCTGGCCAGGGTCTTGCGAATCCGGGGACAGGCTGGGGTCGCTACCAGTTGTGGCTGCAAGAAGAAGCAGCAGATATATTTACATACAAAAGGGATAGAGATTGTGTACAGATACAGGTTATCTTCGACTTACAACAGTTCATTTTAGAGCCCTGGCGGTTAGAATGCAGTATTGCAGGCAAATTCTGCCCACAGTCTGGAGTTCGATCCTGACAGGCTCAAGGTTGACAAAGCCTTACTATCCTTCTGAGGTTGGTAAAATGAAGACCCAGAGTGTTGGGGGCAAAATGCTGACTCCATAAATCACCCAGAGAATGCGGTAAAGCACTCTGGGGTGGTATATAAATCTAGGTGCTATTGTTATTGTTATTTTTCAGTGCTGTTGTATCTTTGAAAGGTCACTAAACTAACTGTTGTAAGTTGAGGACTATCTGTATTTGACCAAGGCTTTCCATGGGATTTTAAAAATCGTAAGTGCATTTGGAAGTTAATTCTAAGGAGTCTTGGTGGCGCAGTGGTTGGAATGCAGTATTGCAGGCAAAACTCTGCCGATACCTGGAGTTCGATCCTGACAGGTCAAGGCTGACTCAGCCTTTCATCCTTCCGAAGTCAGTAAAATGAGGACCCAGATTGTTGGGGCAATCTGCTGACATTTGTAAACCGCCCAGAGCAGGGATCTTCAAATTGGCCCTTTTATGACTAGTGGGCTTCAACTCCCAGAATTCCTCAGCCAGTGTGCTAGTGTGCCTGGCTGAGGAATTCTGGGAGTTGAAGTCCACAAGTCATAAAAGGGCCAAGTTTGAAGAACCCTGGCCCAGAGAGTGCTGTAAAATGTTATGGGGGGGTATATAAGTCTAAGTATTATTGGTATTTAGTGACTGAAGTTACAACAGCACTTAAAAAAGTGACTTAAGACCGTTTTTCATACTTATGACTATTGCAGCATCATGATCAAAATTCAGACGCTTGGCATCTGACTCATATTTATGATGTTTGCAGTGTCCAGGGGTCATGTGATCGCTTTTGGTGACCTTCTAACCAGCAATGTCAATGAGGAAGTAACAACCATGTTACTAACTTCACAACTGCTGATTTTTTTTCAAAAAAAAAGAAGAAGCCTCCAGTCCATATGGTTTTAAACAAAAAGGTATTTTAAATAACAACAGACAAAAGTGTTTACCTAATGCCTGTCTGGAAAAATGTGGAAACAGTCATCTTTCTAGTCCGGTATGATCTACACAGGGATATGTGGTAAATTGGGCAAAATTTCCTGATTGTTTTTTTTAGATAATTTGCAATTTATTTATCTATTTAAGTATATATTAATAGAATATATATACCGTATTTTCCGGCGTATAAGACGACTTTCTAAACCCTGAAAATCTTCTCAAAAGTCAGGAGTCGTCTTATACGCCCAGTCGTCTTATACGCTGGAAAATACGGGTATTCTATTTTATTCCTTTACACATGTGGTTTGGCATATTACTCATCAAGTTTTCTCTCCCCCCCCCTCTCTCTCGCTCAAACTCTATATTTTAACTGAAAAAGTTGGGGGTCGTCTTATACGCCGGAAAATACGGTAGCTATTAAGGAGTGTTCCAATATCTCAGGGGCTGCCACAAAGAAGAGGGAGTCAAGCTATTCTCCAAAGCACCTGAAGGCAGGACGAGAAGCAACGGATGGAAACTAATCAAGGAGAGAAGCAACCTAGAACTGAGGAGAATTTTCCTGACTGTGTGAACAATTAACCAATGGAATGGCTTGCCTCCAGAAATTATGGATGCTCCAACACTGGAAATTTTAAAGAAGAGATTGGGCAACCAGGAGACAGTGAATTGTAGTCTCGCCTAATCAGGAAAGCTGGTTGGGTGACTTAGGCTAATCACCAGGAGATGGTGAGTTCTAGTCCTGCTTTAGGCATGAAAGCTGACTGGGTGACTTTGGCCCAGTCTCTCTCTCTCTCTCTCTCTCTCTCTCTCTCTCTCTCTCTCTCTCTCTCTCTCTCTCTC